TTCTTTCATGTCTGCTAACTCACATGAAATCATCTGATGGTTACCAGAACCTGACAGGATGGCCAATTCATGCAGGACCACTTTTAAAAAAACTTTCTTTAGACCTTTTAGCCACTTACATCAGTTTTGGAAGCTGCTTTTGTCTTTCTTTTTCTGCCTTTCCCCTTTCTTTCTTCATCTGCTGAAGGTTTTCCCTGATCCGAAAGCTCTGCTGACTTTCTTTCTGGTTCCTGAGATGCAGGAGTGGTAGGCTCTTCTTCCTCCTCGTCCTCCTCAGGAGGAAGAGGTAAAGGTTCGAGGTAGTAGCTTCGTGGCTTAGGTTTAGGGTGTGTGTGGTAAAGCAGAAGGTGCTGCTGCTCCTCATATTTTATGACTTTCCTATCAATGCGAACAGTTCCAAACCAAGCCCAAGACAATGGAGCTGGATTCTTATTGCCTTCCAGTAAATCCCATGGAGATACTTTCTGTTTCATTGAGACTTGGAGCCCCTGTTTCCAAAAAAGTGTAAAATGACAGTTTGCTTGATCACAATTTTCTTCTAATTTCCGAATACCTTTAATTGCAGCTTATGAACTTACTATTAAAATAGTGATGCATATAATCACCAGAGAAAAATATCAGTAATATAATGCACATAATGATACAATTAATTGAATGATATTTTATGTGTTGGATTGAAATATATATAAACATGAGATTAAACAAAGAAATTTATTGAAGTTTCTGCAAAATTATGTTCATGAGAAAGGTTTGAAGAAAATGCTTATCCTTGCCTGTTTCTTATCTATGGAGTCAAATCCAGCAATTTTGTTTCCCTTCGTATCAATCAGTGATCCCATAGGCTCACAGGCAATAAGGTCACACATCTGCTTTGGCAATGGCAAGAGCTGGCGAACTTTGTCAATACTTTCTGAACTTTTATCTCCCAGTTCTTTCTACAAGAGGACAAAAATGCAAAAAAAAAATGTTAAAAATAAATTTCGGAGCTCCAACTCAGAGAAGTTTCAGATGAATCATATCCTTGTACTTTTACTAATTTTATTCAAGTTATGTAGCACAGTTTTTGAAAAGTGCTTCATAAGCTTTTCTTTTCCTAGGACAAAAATTAATTTCCAGGATCTCCCGCCCTCCCCCCTCTCTCTCATCACCATATCAGGATTAAGTATTCTGAAAAGCATAATCTTTCCAATGTTTCATGCAGAAGTTTTTCCTACCATTTGCTACCAAGGATTTTTAAAGTACTAATGTAAAGGATCAGGCCCTTTTGTTTCTAAGATATGCTTAATGCTACTTCCATATACCAATATTACTTGATGAACATCTTGATCTTTCTAACAGAAATACAGGAAGGTATTAGCATGTCCATAGCTAACTATCTTATACTCTGAAAAAATCACCAAGGTTTCAACTACAATTTTTTTCATCACATCCTACTTGGTCCTCCTTTTTAATGGGAAGGCAGGAATTGTCTTTGACGAAAAGTCAGAGAAATTCAAACTGAATGTTTTTTTTTTCTATCTATAGAATAAGCATACGCTTTTTCACATTGAGCACAGCTAATCCATGTGAGGAAGTGGCCTTTTGAAAGAAAGGAAATGTTATATTTATAACTTTGATTTAAATCACATTGTTTGTGTATACTTCCTCTTAATTAATCAAGTTAGTATATTGCTACTGTGTGTTTGTTTGCTAATTTGTTATTAAAAGGGTTCTACAGCTGGCAGTTGCAAAACACTACAATCCGCTGGATTGCAGCTGAGGCCAGACAATTTAAAATTTGGAAAATGAGGTATCAAAATATAAACGTTCTCCTAGTAATTTCACAGAAGTAGCTGATATTTAGTTACAGTCTTCCCCAATTTGAAATCTCTCAAATGTGTGGGTCACTACAATCTCAGATTTCCTCATTCAGTATGGCATCTGTCTATCTGCCTGCCTGCCTGCCTGCTTGCCTATCTATCTATCTATCTATCTATCTATCTATCTATCTATCTATCTA